TTGAATTATCAATAAAATTATAAATAAAATAAAATAAACTAAAATTGAAATATCAATTGTAAAACAAAAAAAAAAAAGGATTTATATTGATGGAAAAAGCTGTTGGTATATCATTAAAATTATCGGTCTGTAAATATGAGGGTCTATACAGACGGAAAAATTCTTAAGATTTCTCAGAGTCTATACCAACGGATAAGTCTTCCATCGGAATAGACCCAAGGGTCTATACAGACGGAAATTCAAGAGATTTCTCAGGGTCTATACCAATGGATAACTCTTCCATCGGAATAGACCCAAGTGTCTATACAGACGGAAATTCAAGAGATTTCTCAGGGTCTATACCAACGGATAACTCTTCCATCGGAATAGATCTAAGGGTCTATACCATCGGATAAAATCTTCCATCGGAATAGACCCAAGAGTTTATAGAAACGGATTAGGCGTTGGTATAGACCCTATACTGACGAGGTTTTCACCGACTGAAAGTTAGTCCGTTGGAATAGTCCTGGGGGTCTATACCAACAGAAAATGGGTCTATACAGACGGAAAAGTTCCGTCAGTATAGGTGCATCTCCTTGTAGTGAACAAAGAAAATCAAGATCCTTTAAGAATATATTAATTAGTTGGAGACTTCAAATAAGAGGTCTTGGATAAAATTTTAAAAAATTTAAATATACGAAAGAAAGAACTAAGAAAATTGAGAAAAGAAAAGCAATGGAAAGCACATACCAAGTTCAGCAGGATTCTCAATGAGGACAGTCATTTTCGCAGCAATAAAATAGGAGAGAACAGAAGAGAATATGAATGGATTGGGTTTGGGTTGTTGATCCTATGAGGGGAATTTATAGTATCCAATAAAAGCACTCCCTCCAAAATAAGAATGATTGTTGTCCTTATAACTAAATTGGAACTTTTGAGTCCTTAACTGTAAAGCTAACTTTCCTTAATTAGTTATTCTAATTTCCGAGGAAATGCGCTGAGAATCCAATCATTAAAAAAAATCAATAAATAAATAAAAAATAAAAGGAAAATGAGGACATGTTGCCTTTTAAAATTAGTTTCTTAAATTCAGCCCATCACACTCTCCAGCAGGCGCATGTTCCACATTCATCCATCATATGGTCCCACGTCTGCAGTCAACCTCTAATGAGTCAAAAAAACATTATATATTTTTTGGATAATAATATGTGTAGAATATTTTATATAAATTTTATTTATAATTTTTATATATTATTAAATAAATATAATATAATATAATATCACTTGTTTTAATAAAATAAAAAAATCAATTTCCAAATAACATGTAAAGTTATTTTTTTAAAAAATTATAAAAAAAGTTCTCCTCGATCATTTTCCTATTATTTCACTTGCTTATTTTACAACTAGATATGCATACCTAGTCATGGCCACAGCATTGCCACCTTGAAAATAAAAAGAATTATCCTAATAATTACTGATTTTTTTTTTTTTGAACTTCTAAAAAGTCTAATAGTTTGTGGATAAGGGAACAAAGATATGTTTGAATAAATTTATCCCTCGCAAGATAACATTATTTACCAAGGTATATCTACAAGATGCATATCACCTTTTTCTATAGGGCATGTCAGGAGTGGAGGATGAGATTGGAAAGGATGGGATATTGGATTAACCTAGATAGGACTATATTAAGTCAAAACTATGTTGGTTAATTATTGGATAAAGTTGGATTATTCTTTTTGTCTCAAAACAACTGTTATTTTTTTATATTAAATTTATTCTAAATTAATTATAATATTTTATTTTTTAAGGTAAATAAATATTTTTTCTATTGTAACCTCATCGTTAGTTATTTATTTTAATTAATCATCCTATCACAATTTTTTTTTGTTTTTTATTTTTTAAGGGTATATTATAACTAAATACAAATATTGACTCCACATTCTTAATTTAAGAAAAAAGTCAAAAATCTACAATTATTTTAAGATAGAGAGTAAATATAAATTTATAATTGTATTGACAAAAATAACCCTGCATCATAATTAATTAACCTATTTATATTTTTGTAAATAATTATCTTACTATATTTATAATAAACATCAATTTTCAAAGAAAATGCTCATAAAAAAAATAAGAGAAAATGAATGATTTTCATAATTAAGAAAATCAACTATATTCAAATTTGCCCTATTTACCTTAGTTCAAGCAACGTTGATTGGAGCCCTAGACCATTCAAATCAATTGATAGTTGGACCTCTTACCCTTGTTTTAGTCCAATTATTGAGAGGCTGTGGAACTCTTTTAATATTGAAGGTTTTTGGGGCTTTAAATGCAAAGAGAAGTTAAATTTGCTTCAGGAAAATCTTAAACAATGGAACAAAGAAGTGTTTGGCAACATTGATATCCAATAAGCTATATGAAGAAAGTTGAGTTTGTGGGTTTTAAATGTGAGGACCAGGACCTCATCGAGGACAATATGCTTAAAAGGAAAGAGGGTTTTGTAGACTTTTGGCAATGTTTGAGGAACAAAGAAAGTTTGTGGAGGTAGAAATCTAAAGCTACCCGGGATGCAAACATGGGGTTTTTTCATAAAACAATAAATGGAAGAAGGAAAAAGAATATGCTCTGGGAACTCAACTTCCAAGAAGTCTGGATGGATGATCCTACGCAAGTCAAGAAGATCACTAAGGAGCATTACTCTAACTAGTTCTCCTCTAAACCTCAGTCAAGACCATCACTATAACACCTTCAATTTAACAAATTATCCAATATGAAAAGGAAAAAGCTTGAGGCAAAATTCACTATTGAGGAAATTAGAGAAGCAGTATCTTCTTGTGCCAATGATAAAGCCCCTAGACTTGATGGGTTCAATTTCCATTGTTTCAAGTCAATATGGAGCACAATTGAAGGTGATATTGTTAATTTTGTCAAAGAATTTCATTAGAACGGAAGGCTGGTTTGAGGCCTCAATGCATCTTACATTGCTCTAGTGCTTAAAAAGGAAAAACCCCAAAAACCTAGCAAGAGTACAAGCCAATTAGTATGGTTGGATGCTTTTACAAAATTCTGGCTAAGGTTTTAGCAAACAAGTTGCAAAATGTTATTGGCAAGATTATCAGTTTGAGTCAATTTTCTTTTTTGAATGGGAGATAGCTTGTTGATAGTGTTTTAGCTCTTAATGAAATGGTAAATGACTTTAAACCAAAAAAGAAGAAGGGGCTCCTTTTTAAAGTGGATTTTGAAAGAGCTCTTGTCTCAGTGGATTGGAGCTACTTGCATTCCATGCAAACCATTTTGGGCTTTAGAGATAAGTGGCGAAGTTGGATGAGAGAATGTTTATCTTTGGCTTCCATCTCTATTCTTGTAAATGCTTGCCCAACGTTGGAATTCAAAATGCAGAAAGGGTTGAGGCAAGGTGACCCTTTTTTGCCTTATCTTTTTTTAATAGCTATTGAAGTCCTGCATTCTTTTTTTTTTTTTTTTGCGAAGCTAAAAGGTAAGATCTTGAAGGTGTGGCTATCAATGAGAATTTATCTTTTTTTCACCTCCAATTTGCTAACGGCATAGTTCTCATTGGGGACACTTCACTTAAGTCTACCAGGGCTTTCAAGCTTCTTCTTAGATGGTTCAAAATTGTTTCTGGCCTCATAATCAACTTTGGTAAAAGCACATTATTTAGAATCAATGTTGATGAGAGATGGCTCAAGATGGCAGCCTTTGCCTTAAATTCCAAGCATGGGAACCTACCTTTCATTTATTTAGGGCTTTTGGTTGGTGGTAACCCACACAGAATTAGCTTTTTGAAAGTAGTGGTGGAGAAATTTTGATCTAAGTTGGCAGCTTGGAAGGCTAGACTCTTATCATTTGGTAGACGTGTTACTCTTCTCACATCAGTATTTTTTGCTTTCCCTTTATTTTATTTTTCAATTTTTAAGGTTCCTAAAGGTGTCCTTGTTGATTTAGTTAAACTCTAAAGAACCTTTTATAGGGAAGTTTAGATAGTCATAATAAGATTGCCTAGGTAAACTAGAGTAGAGTCTGCCTTGATAAATCAAAGGGTGGGCTTGGCATTCCAAATCTTACACTTAGGAACACTGCCCATTTAGGGAAATGGTGGTGTAAGTTTTATGAGGACAATGAAAATGGGAAGTTATGGAAGAAGATCATTATTAGTAAATATTATGGAGATGTAACAAATGTACCTATTACTAATATAGTTTATTCAAGATTGTCTCTCCCTTTTAAAAAGACATTTTGTCTATTGGCAAGAATGGTAAAAGAGTTGTTGCTTGTTTTGTTGATGGTTTAGCTCGAAAGTTGAGTGATGGCAGAAAAACCAAATTTTGGAAAGATGTTTGGGTAGGGAATTCTTCTTTTATGTTTAACTTCCCTTGCCTGCTCAACCTCACTCGGTGCAAGGACTCATTGGTTGCGGACTTTAAGCCAACTAATGTAGACAGATGGGCTCTTCAATGGCATAGAACCCCCTATGGCAAGGAACTGGATGAGCTTGGTGTGCTGGAAGATATATTGAAAAATGTCGTCATCCCATAAGATAAAGCTGATTAAGTTATTTGGGAAACATAGCATGGCAAGGTACTCTGCAAAACAAGTTTACATATTCCTTGAGAATTCCCTTTCATGCCTCGATAACAATTGCTGCAAGATTATTTGGAGTCCATTTATGCCATCCAAAGTTAGCTTCTTCACTTAGCGTCTCCTCTTAAATCAGCTCCCTACCAAAGACAACCTAATTATTTATGGAGTTGATCCTGTATCCAACACAAAATGTGTCCTTTGTGGAGAATATGTGGAGGACCTTAATCATGTCTTTACAACTTGTCAGTACACTCAAAATATTTGGAAATTGGTATGCTACTGGTGGGGGATATCTTTTGTCCTTTTTGAAAATGCTTCCCTTTTGCTTACCTTACATAGCTTTGCTCCCTTATGGACACTAGGAATTCATGGAACTATTGGGTTCTCACTATTTTCACCACAGCATGGATAATTTGGTACTTTAGAAATGGTATTGTGTTTAATAAACTGTCTTGGGAGGAAAGCAATCTTGCTAATTAAGTGCAAGCTAAGACTTTTAGTTGGATTAAAGGAAAGTCAAGATTGGCAGTTTTTAGCTATGGTGATTGGTGCCAATTTCCAAATCTTTGTGCTGCTGGAACATAGTCACCAAACTACTATCCTTGTATCCTCTTTTCTCTTGTAAGGGTGAGTACCCCTTGTATTGGTGAGTACCCCTTGTATTTCCTTTAATGAATTTTGATTCATTAAAAAAAAATACTATATTCAAATTCCTAATAATTTGTTTCTTGAGAAAATTTTCTCAGAAAAAATTGTTCTAAAAAATGAGATTATTATGATGTAAAGCACCACTTTGTTGCTTTCTTCTCACCCTCATCTACTCTGTGACCAACAAATCAAGTTCAATTGATCTTCATCTTCCGGTTCCACCCATTTTTTCCAGTGTTCTCTAGCCCGATCTTATAACTTCCCCGATCTACCCTTCTGACAAGTTTCAAACGCATAATTGTTGTCCATTTGTGTGTTTTAGGGGCTAATTTCCCCTCTTTATTGTTTTTTTTTTTTTTTTACACTAGAACCATAAAAAAATAATTGATAAGTCTAATTTTTACATATATTTATATATCATTTTCACTTTGAAATTTATGATATTTGAGTTCGTTTAGTTTTAATTTTAATTAATTTTACATATTTTTTTATTATGTTTGTAGGTGAAGACTAGATCGATTACATAAAATAAAAATAGGATGAGAGAAAAAGTCTGTCTTATCTTATTTCTTATCCTGTACTATCCTTAGAGTTTCAAATTTGGGGTTGTTTGTAAGCACATTTGTCCTTATAGTTCCCCTTTTTTTTTTTTCTTTTTTTTTTTTTATTTATTTTGAGGGAAAATGTTGATACTAACATTCAAAAATGAGTGTCGGAGGTTTCTCCCAAATTTCGTCAGAGGATCAACGTTGCGAGTAGTTTAACATTCAAAAATGTTGATAGTAACATTCAAGAATGGACAATGGTGACGTGAATCAGAGAGAATAGATAGGGTGGAGAGAAAGGGAGAATGCAAGTGAGCATAGTACGGTACGTGTGAGATTCTTAGGCCGTTTTGCATTTTGGGTATCTGGCCATGGTCTATACAATGGAGCCCTTCTCTTGTTTTTCAAAAGCTGAGGGGGGGTGGCTGCCCCCCTTGTCCTATGGTAGCCCCGTCCCTGGGTCGGTTCTGGACAATGGAGCCCTTCTCTTGTTTCTTATATAAAGGATTACTGATTGACAAAGTTTTCATACAATCTTGCAGACACAGATAAAAAGGAGTTTAGAATTCAGTTAGAAATGGTTGCTCTAGAGCATTCTAATTCTGTTGCACTATCAAAGGTTGCAATCTCCAACACTCACGGCGAGGACTCTCCTTACTTTGCTGGATGGAAAGCATACGACCAGAATCCTTACAATGAGTTGAGTAATCCGTCTGGAGTCATACAGATGGGATTAGCCGAAAATCAAGTAAGTATGGAAACGAAACTACTGGAAACTCTCACGTTAAGATAGCAAGACATTTTGTACTTAATCTTGCGGTAGGTTTCATTTGATCTGGTGGAGAAGTTTCTAGAGAAACATTATGAAGAATTTAGCTGGGAACAAGAAGCCTCCAGGTTCCGGAGGAATGCTTTGTTCCAAAGTTACCGTGGACTAAAATCCTTCAGGCAAGCCATGGCAGGGTTCATGGAGGAAATCAGGGAAGGAAGAGCTAAATTTGATCCTGAGAGAATTGTCATCACCGCGGGTGCAACTGCCGCCAATGAGCTTTTGACATTTATTATAGCTGATCCCGGTGATGCTTTATTAATTACAACACCTTATTATCCAGGGTAAGAACCAAAAGTGTTTTTCAATCTAAACTGACAAAAAAAAAAAGAAAAGGTCCGTCTACCACTGTAGCTCTCTTACTAAAAATTTAGGTGCGAATGTTGTTTTCTGTTTCCAGATTTGACAGAGATCTGAGGTGGAGAACATTTGTGGAAATTATCCCAATTCATTGTGACAGCAAGAATAATTTCCAAGTCACTCCGAAAGCTCTGGAGGCTGCATACAGAGAAGCAGAATGCATGAATGTCAAAGTAAAAGGAATTCTAATGACAAATCCGTCAAATCCATTAGGTACAACAATCCAGCGCTCCGTCTTGGAACAGACTCTCGATTTCGTAATCCAGAAAAACATTCACCTTGTCTGCGATGAAATTTACTCTGGCTCGACCTTCTCTTCATCGGAATTCATCAGCATTGCTGAAATTCTGGAAGCCCGTCAGTTCAAAGAAGCAGAAAGAGTTCACATCGTCTATAGCCTGTCCAAAGACCTCGGCCTCCCCGGGTTCAGAGTTGGAACAATTTACTCTTACAACAACAGAGTCGTCACCACTGCCCGCAAAATGTCGAGCTTCACCCTGATTTCTTCCCAGACACAGCATCTCTTAGCATGCATGCTTTCCAGAAAAACACTTTTGGTTCTTACCCTGGATAATAAGGTGTTGGAATTAATAAAGCATCACCGGGATCAGCTATAATAAATGTCAAAAGCTCATTGGCGGCAGTTGCACCCGCGGTGATGACAATTCTCTCAGGATCAAATTTAGCTCTTCCTTCCCTGATTTCCTCCATGAACCCTGCCATGGCTTGCCTGAAGGATTTTAGTCCACGGTAACTTTGGAACAAAGCATTCTCCCGGAACCTGGAGGCTTCTTGTTCCCAGCTAAATTCTTCATAATGCTTCTCTAAAAACTTCTCCACCAGATCAAATGAAACCTACAAAAGCAAGATTAAGTACAAAATGTCTTGCCATCTTAACGTGAGAGTTTCCAGTAGTCTCGTTTCCATACTTGATTTTCGGCTAATCCCATCTGTATGACTCCAGACGGATTACTCAACTCATTGTAAGGATTCTGGTCGTATGCTTTCCATCCAGCAAAGTAAGGAAAGTCCTCGCCGTGAGTGTTGGAGATTGCAACCTTTGATAGTGCAACAGAATTAGAATGCTCTAGAGCAGCCATTTCTAACTGAATTCTAAACTCCTTTTTATCTGTGTCTGCAAGATTGTATGAAAACTTTGTCAATCAGTAATCCTTTATATAAGAAACAAGA